AAAATCTAATCTTGCTGGATGAAAGTGTTGATTGCACAACAATTTAAGAGGACTGTACAAACAATTCATTTCAAAATTGGTTCCTTTACAATCTTGAAGCGCAATTTCAATAACGCATTTCAGAACGGATCATCCAATTCAAAATGCAAGTTCATCTCATCGATCTTTGTTGCTGAACTTGTCAGAAAAAATGTCCTCTCGTTCCACAACGTCAACAACAATAACTCATTCACACACTCCTCCTCTAAATCATCATCAGTCCTCTCAGACATCCTATGATATCTACGCGTATTGTAAAAAAAGGAGATTTTCAACGAGTCAAATCCATGCTCAAGCCTTCCGATTTGGAACTTGCTGATGTTTATGGAAATACATTACTATATTATGCATGTTTGTGTGGACATTTGCAATTGGTACATTTCTTATCGGAGAAAGGAGCACGTGATGATAAGTTTCATCGATGCTACATGAATGCCTTATCTCTCAATATCCGCAAACTATTGAAAATTTATAATAATTATTCCAATTTTAGTAATAATCTCATCATGAAGAAAAAAGAAGACTTGCTTGATGAGGAAGATCATTTATTACAGATGGAATCTTTATCACTTCAATCGTTCATGGTTAAAAAAACAAAAAGAATTCTTTTGGAAAGTGAAAGAAATATGGAGAGTGATATTACTCTAACAATTCGATTTTCAGATCAACCACAAGAAACGAATTATTATTGCCATTTATGGATTCTTTTGGCAAGATGGCCATTACTCTTGTACTTTGCACTTGTTCAAGAGAGTCGACCAATTCCATGGACGGTTGCTAACAGTTTAAGCTATCACGAACAAACATTGATCACTTTAAAAATCCAATAAGGAAATTGAAAAGTATTGTTTTGGTAATGAGGTTCTATTTGTTCATGAACTCAGAAATCAAGTGAAGAAAATCAAACAAGAAATTGCAATGATTCGACAAAGATTAGCATACAAAAGAGCAAACGAAGAAGAAATGCAAGCATTACTCGATGTCTTACCTGAAACAGAAATGGAACTTAAAAATTAATGAGTTCCAAGCTGTCACGTATTGATTTAGGAACTGTGAATTTTCCAAAAAAGTGCTTTGATATTTTACTTGTTTGGGTATACAGTGGAAAATTTATGGATCTAACTTCTTCAAAGAAGGAAATTCAGTATTCTCTATCTCAGGTGTTTGCCATCAAAGATTTTTTGAGTGTTGCTGAATCTTTGAAAATCTATGATGCAGTTGATTTCTTAAAAGCCTACCAAAACAAAGTGAAGGAAGAAGAAATTACAAAGAACATGGCAGATGCTTTTTTGAAATCCATGGAGGCGAGTTTTTTCCTTGAATCTCACAAACCTGAAACTAAATTGGAGTTGATGAGAAAACTTTGCTGTGATTTCAAATTGAAAATTGAAAACTATTTGGAAGAAACTTCATTCGTACCCACGAATGACTCCATTCTCTGCCACAAGGACTTTCTGACGGAACGAAGTTCGTTTTTCAAAGTGATGATTGAATGCAATTTCGATGAAGGAGAGAAAATTCGAGAATTGCAAGCCCACCACGAATTTCCTATCTTGCACTTACAATGTTGTAATTTTTCAGTCTTGGAAGAATTGTGTCGATGTTTATATTCTGAAAAGATGAATCTGAATGAACAAAATGCCTTAGAGCTCTTTTCCTATGTGCATCGATTGGGAATGAGACAGGAAATTCTTCTTGAATGTGAACGTTATATTAAGAAAATGGACATTGATGTGAGTGAAATTTATTCATTTTGCAAAGTGTGTTTTCCACTCTTTACAAAAACAAACTCGAGATTTCTTTGAGCCAATATTATTCGAGTTTTTGCAACAACAACAAGAGATAGACATGTATGCAGCCTTAGAAGAATTCGACTATGACACACACATCATTGAAATGATTCTGACACGAATGAACATTCAACGCAAACAATGAAGGACGTGATTTTAAAAGAAGGGCATATTATACTAATGTTCAAGAGAATAACAGTGATATGGGGTTGGAATGCAGGACCATTTGGCAGAGATAGCCCAGTGGTATCCATTTGACAGGTTGAATCGCAATAAGGATCTAATACAAAGAGAATAGATCGAGACAGGAATAAGGCGGACTGACCTACTGCAGTTTAATTCATTGTTCGTTCAAAGAGAGTGTAGTTTGTTTTTCGGAATCTCTTTTTGCCTTAAAGTGTCAAACATCAAAAAATTCAGGGATGGGTTTATTCGATGATAAACGTTGTTCGATGGTTTTATGTACATTATTTACAAGCCAAACGTAAGATACGTAGTGACTTCCTAGCAGGCACCCCGGAAGTAAAGGTGTTTAAACTGCTCACGATAACAGCAGCAACCCCTGGGATTCGAACGCTGGACCAGTTGACTGCCACAGTTCCAGAAAAACCACTCGGCCATATGCGGGCAGCGTCAAACATCAAAAAAATGAGTAAACGCAAGAACTCGAACAATCATTCCGATGACCATCCAAATCTAAATTCAATCAATCCACAGGAGAAGGATGTGAAGAAATTAAAATTGATTCGAAAGCATCATGTTTGTATCACCATGATTGATTTTTCTAATTCTTTTTTTCATCATGATGAATAATAATGACATTCGTAGATTGGAATTATCATTGAAAAAGAAATTTTCATTGCAACAGGAAGGAAAGAAAAAGTGGTTATTGAATCGAGAATTGAAATATGAACGTTTCTTTCCCATCGAGTTCATGAATGACAAGCAATTTGTATTGAATCACATCAAAAAGTATGGATTTGGATTAAAATATACGTCACCACAATTGAAAGAGGACAGAGAGTTGGTGTTGCAAGTGGTTCAATTGAATGGAATTGAATTACAATATGCCAGTTATTATGCTCGCAATGATAGAGAAGTGGTATTGGAAGCTATAAAGAATGAAGCTTTTGCACTCGATTATGCTTCACCATCACTTCAAAATGACAAAGTATTTATGTTGGAAGTCATTCGATGGAATGAAAAATGTCTAGAATATGCTCCCTATGATTTACGTGAAGAAGATAGCGAATTCTTATGTGAAGCCATCAAACAAAATAAGAAAGCACTTCATTGTCTATCATGGAAGTTACGCCAAGATGAAAAGTTCATGTTAAAACTTATCAAATCACTCTTTCCAGAATTCAATTTAATCTCTATTGATCAAGCCAACAAAGAAATCATGATGAAACTTGTGAAAGAATTTGGATTTTTGTTGAAATTTGCATCAAAAGAACTCAAAAATGATCGAGATATTGTTTTGAATGCTGTCAAACATGATGGTTGGGCTTTTAGTTATGCCTCACATGATTTGAAAAGTGACAGAGAAATTGCATTTCAAGCGGTCACAAAAGAACCCTTAACACTGAACGGGATGCCAGATGAATTGATCAATGATAAAGAATTGGTATTGGTTGCTGTGAATCAAGATGGATGGGCACTTGAATATGCTTCAGACGAGTTGAGAAATGATCGACAAGTTGTATTGACAGCTATAAGACAAACTGGTTTAGCTCTTCAATATGCTGATGAAATGCTGAAAAGAGATCAAGAAATTGTATTCGAAGCAGTCAAACAAAACAATAATGCTTTCAGATACGCTTCGAAGGAATTTTTTAATGACAAGGAATTCTTATTGAAACTGGCAAAGCTCGGATGTAGAAATGTCTTCAAATACGTTCCAAAAGAAATTGTTGAAGACAGAGAATTTGTGTTAAAAGTCATCAAAATCAATAGTCTCGCTGTGATTGGACCCGATGATTCACCATTTCGCCATAACGAGGAAATTTTGTTAGAAGCAGTCAGAAATAATGGATTTTCATTATGCTTTGCGAAAGGACCGTTACAAGATGATCCTGAATTGGTGATGGAAGCTTTCAAATGTCATGGATTTGTTTTTGAGTATAGTGATGAATTGTTGCAACAAAGGATGGAACAATGTTATTTTGGTGCTTATTTGGATTAAATTAACATTTAAATACATGAACAGGACAACACAATGGATTATTTTGAGAAGCTGAGTCAAAAGAGTTCAGTTCTGAATTTCAATTCGAATGAATATTTGTGTGAAAAAGAGTAGATTGGAATTGGATGACGATGATGGGCATTTGAAACATCGTGTCTCTAAAGTTCTTCTTACGAGAAGATGAAGCATTAATGTTGAAAGCTATCAAATTAATTTCCCAAAATAAGAGCAATTCCATTCAATTTAACCACATTTCAAATCACTCGAGAAAAAAATGAAAAGAGGCAATTCCTCTCCAATCTCCTCCTCCGATCAGAGGATGAAAAAGAACAAACAAGAGGATGATGAAGCAGCAATAGCTTTGGATCAACAAGCAGAAGAGGAGGTATCTGAAGAAAGGGATGAAGAAGGTGAGGAGGATGATCTCTACATGTCCCATGAAGATTACTGGAGCTCTGTTGCCGATATCGGTTGCAGTGATCATAATGATGAAGATGAGGAGGAGGATTTTTCGGATGTGATTCTCAGAACTTCATTTCATGATTATCATCTTCATAAAATTGTGTTGAACAAGTGCAACTACTTCAAAATGTGTATGAAACGAACATTGGGATTTAACGAATCAAAGCAAGACGAGAATGGTAAACAAATGATAGATTTGAAACATGCAGAAGAAACATTGGGAAATAGTGGAATTAAATTTGATAAGCAAATGTTTGATAAAGTTGTTCAATTTATTTACTGTAATTATGTAGAAGTAGAGGATGCTGATGTAAACGATTTATATTACTTGATACAGATTGGAGATTTTCTTGACATGAAACAATTACAAAATTACATTCTGCAAAACACCTTACCACATTTCAAAATATATTTGAAAGAAAGGTTGGGAATAGAAATTCCAATTCAAGAAATAATATTCTACTCTCTGTCTGTTGTAGCTGATGGAAATGAGTATCTGATGGAAATTCCAGCAATTCCTATTGAATTTTTGAATTTCATTTTTCACAACCAAAAGTTCCTATCACATGTAAACTGGTATTGTTGGAAAAACACTTCCATCAAAGCACTGAAACAGAATTGAGCGATATTGACAAGAATGAAATTTTCACACACTCATTGGTACAACCTTACAAAAATCTCATGCAACAATTGAAAGATATGATTCAACATTCCGAAGTGTCATCCATTCGAGAATCTAGTGCCCAATCTTTGGCACAAAAGTTGTGTCCAGAATTAACACCCTATCCATCGGCAACAGGTAATAATGTGGATATTCTACTGACACGATCTGAATATGTAGAATTTAGTTTGGAGTCATGTGTCGAGATGGAATGTTTTTGTCTGTTATTTGGAGGTTTATTCAACTTAAGGATTGACTGCGACGAGAGAAGCTCTGCATATTGGTGGACTTTCACATTAGAAAATCTTGAATGTACGTATCCTGTCAAAGTAAGCCTGTACCTCATGTCGAGAAATTCATGTGGAGGAGTTGAATGGTCTTGTGAGGTTTTTCAAAGCTCGACACCTCTTGAACAAGGAAAATCACAAGAGCTTGGGGTGGTTTATGGAGAACAACTCTATATTGGCAATGTTGATGTGAAGGGAGTCCTCATGGTTGAGAAATGTACAAATATTACCAACAATACGCATGTGTTTGAGCAAAAGAGAGGACAAGACCCTGTGCTCTGAGATGATTAATCACCAAAATGAAAAGATTGTTTCAACAATCATCATGTTTCTTCTCACCTCGACACGGTTACACTTGGTTGGGTGCATCGTCCAGGCTCTCTTGGAAGCAAAATCAAGCAGCAATTATTGCTTCAACAATTTCTAAGAGTAACGCCGTACAGTGCATGCATCGAAATAATCTTACACTTCAACAATATAATATCCAAAATCGGAATGATGACGATTCGAATGATCAAATTCCTATCCCCTATCACAACAAGCGTACTTTCTCATTCGACACAGAATACAATCATAATACTATGAAATTGATGAAAATTGCTGCTCTTCTGTGTACACTTGTGGGAAGTGGATTGGCTTGGTATTTATTGAAGGGTAACATGAATCAAAAGATGATCACTTCTGCTCAGGAAGGTTGTGACGATAATTTCCAACAAACAATGAAAATTGAACCACTACCACCATCATCATCATCACAACAACAGACTCTTTTAAGCCCCATTCAAAAGCAACAACTTGATTTAATCTTTCAGTCCTTTAAAGAAACCGTTTCCAGTCCTGGTATGCAAATTGCAATTTCTCAAAATGGATCACTCATTTACAATCAATGTTTTGGTTTTTCCAACGTTGAAAATAGAATTCCCGTCCATGAGAACACAAAATTCAGAATTGCCAGCATTTCTAAACCCATCTCAAGCGTGGCACTTGCCTTAATGATTGAGAAAGGACTTGTCAATCTCGACAAACCCATCTTTCACTATTTATCGGAGGAATCAAAAAAGAAAATTCCTTCTGAACTCATCTACAAGGGAGAGAAATTTAACACCATTACTCTACGACAATTGGCCTCACATTTGAGTGGTGTCAGAGATTACAACGATGTTGAGAAGGAATTCATGAGCTGGACAAAAAACTATCGCTCCATCATTGATGCTTGTGAAATGTTCATACAGGACGAACTGGTGAACAAACCAGGTGACAAGTATTCCTATTCAACGTATGGCTACACTCTCATGAGTGCTGTGATGGAAGATATTTTGAAAGCTCAATCCGAAAATCCTTCATTGACACTGGAAACAAAAATTTTCCTTCAAAATGCAAAAGATTTTAAATCGTTTTGTAAGAAACATATATTTGATGTACTTGAGATGAATAACACTACATTTGATGAGAAGGATAAGATTATTTACAATAGAAGCTCGTTCTACATGAGAGATACATCTGGGGAAAATGCATATGAATTGTTGAATGTGCCAAGTGTAGACAATAGGTATGTTTGAAATGTTTACGAAATAATGGAATTCATTTTTTCAAATGGAATCAATATCATAATTGGAAATTTAAATGATCCTTTGATTTCTTTGGTGTTTCTTAATATTGACCAACTCATGAATGTCGTGTGTATGTGAATTCATACTTGTAGCTACAAATGGGCTGGAGGTGGCATGTTATCCACATGTCAAGATCTGCTCAAGTTTGCGAACGGCTTACAAAAATTACTTCCTCCTTCACAATATCGCCAACTCATTGACCAAACTTTGTGGATTTCACAGAAAACCAATGAAGGATTACCTACTCAATATGGAATTGGATTTGTTGTGAAAACCATTCGCTTGAACGGGAAGGAAGAAAAACTCGTGTATCACACTGGAGGAGCTTGTGGATGTTGTTCCATATTGTGGATGGTTCCTTCTCGAGGCATCTCGATTGCCATGATTGTGAACATTCTTCATGCAAAGAGAATGACTGAACTCTGTGAAGAGGTCACTCGACTTCTTTGTCGAGAATGAAAATGTCTGTGATTGATGTCCACTGTAATGTGATGTGTGGTATGGACTAAATGGAGTAGATTCTCCTTTCATTGAACCATCATGACTGTGTTCAAAGAAGAATTATTTCAATTTTTTACACACTGAATCGAATCTAATGCGATTAAGGGAAATATACAAAAAATTTCCTCAAAGAGATCAATCTGAAAAATCCTTCACCGCGATGCACGCTGGAGAAAATGATCATCCTCATGATGGGGATGAGGATGAAATCGCCCTTCACAGACGACCACTCCCTCTCCGAACACCGGAAATGGGAACAAAGAGAAGACTCTTTTCATCGAGTCTTTCCCGAATTTCGACTCAATTTGAAGAACCTTCATCGTCCCTACCAGCAATAATGTACAAGAAGAGTTTATTGAATAATAGTATGATCAATCAACAGAATGGAATACACTACTGGAGCTCTCCCGCAAAAAGAAAATCTTCTCTTTCTACTCCTCATACGCACTTCAATTCTCCAAAACATAGTCTGATGAACCACAGTTTCACTCCTTCACTCCCTTTACAGCATTCAACGAGTCCTTTTGAGCGAGTCATGATGATCCACGACAATGAGGAATCTTCAGGCTCGGACACTAGCTCGGTCGGTTCTCTTTCTTCACCTGTAAGCACACCAAGAGTTTACTTTGATTCCATTTTGCATTCTTCGAAGAAAACTAAGGACATAGCAAAAACACCATTCTTAGATCAGTTCAATAGTGAACATGTTCGCGTTTCAAAAAAAGCTCCCTTATTGAAATTGGAGTTTGTGAAAATTATAGAGAATCATCGAAAGACTTGTGACCACATGGTTGAAGATTTGAATTTCGAAGTTCCTTCATTCTTAAATGATTCGTATAATTGTATGGATTTTTGGACGATGATTAATCATCACCCTTGTATTTTTTAGTCACTAGCTGTGCTTTGGGTTTTGCCTTTTTAAACAAGCAGGGAAGATGTTGGCCATTTTCTATTGTTTGTCATTCTAACAAGCCTTATTTCCTACATGATTGATGTCGTGTCAAAAGTCAAAACATCATATAAAAACAAATACACTGCTCAAGTGGTCCACCAAGCAAATGACAAAACAGCGCGCATTCTCTTCTTCAAAGACTTCATCCAAACCATCCTCTCTAAACAAACAATTCATCTTTCTCCCTCAAGCATTCATTGTGGAAAGGACGATAAAGCTGAAAACTTTATCTGAGGACTCGAATATACCGAGGGCCCGGCAGAATCAGGAGCCTGATCCTACGCGGTGGCACATCATCAGAACCTGATCTGAAAAAGCTCCTGAGAGAGGGATCCGCTCCAATCAAATCAACCAATTTTGTTCAGATGAATTTTGAGTTATTCTCATTCCTTGTGGTTATTTCTTCTGTGATCATCATTTAGAATGTATTCTTTCAGAAAACTGTGGTGTTGATAGTAATCTCAAAAATTCCAAATCAAGTTAAAAATTTGGGATTTCCAGGCCCCAAATCAAAGGAGTGAACACGCTAATGAAAACCCAATATATAATAGTTATGGGTAATCCAGCTTTCACAAAATCCAAGAATCTATAACCTGCAGTACCAAGGACAAGCAAATTCCCGCTAAAGCCCAATGGAAAGGCAAAACATGACTGAGAGGCATAAATGACACACATCACAAAACATCTTGCGTTTAGGTGATAGGCCTGAGCAACAGAAATCGCTATTGGAATACATATGGCAACACAAGCACTGCTAGTGATGATTTGCAACGATTAAGGTAATGGCAGTAATAAATGCAGGCAATAGAATTGGAGGAATGTTCGCAATTTTCAGCACTTCTGTGATTCCTTGCCCAACACCACTTTGAGTGATGGCAGTGCCTATACCAAATGATGCACCAACCAAGGCAACTAAACCCCAGTCCACAGAATCTATAGCAGCAGAGGGAGAAATTAATCCAAATGCAATCACAACACAAAAACAAATAAAACTGCATTGCACCATTGAAAATCCTGCAATAGTACTAGCAATCATTGCAAAAAAGAATAGGAAAATCCAATGCTCCCACCACCATAAATCTAAAATTCTCTTTGAAAATGGTATCTTTACAAGAAAAGGTTTTGATTTGAATGCGTCATATGAAGGAGAAACTTCGCTGAAACGTGAAATCATGTAGAATTCTCTATGAGATTCATGGAAATTGAAATAAAAATTTGTTTTTCCAACCACTAGTAAGGTGTCTCCAGTATTGACCGTCAATTTCTTCAAGTCTTGTTCATTCGTTTCAGAATTAAAATATAAATTTCTGATGGCCAATACTGTCACTCGATATCTCTTTTCAAATTCTTGGTATTCCTCTCCAACACATGGATTTGAAGGTCCAATAACAACCTCAAAGAATTCCAATGATTTGGAATCAATTTTGTCCACATCTTTCTGCTTCTTATTTGTTTCTGCTGTTTGTTTGTCTTCTTTGGAGATTTCTGTTGGTAAAGACTTTTTCAAATTTTGGTGTAATTGATCAAGGACGTAATTTTCTCTAAAAGATGGAGTGCTTACGAGTCGATCATTTGAGGAGACAGAGTGGACACTTATGTTGCTTGGTGAGTTTAAATCCTCATCTGATGCAACAGAAGAATATGAATGTGATGAGTTCACTATTCGTTCTTGAATAACAACTTGAGGTATCTCATTAAATTCCTCTCCGCTGCTTGATTCTTTTCGTGGGGCTTGATTACTGATCACGTTGGTTGTTTCTGTACTTTCATTGTACATGGATGAATCTTGCTCAAAGGTCATAGCCTGAAGTAAGAGAATGGATTTTGGAGACCCTTTAAATATCAAGATATCATCTTTCTCTATTACTACATTTTGTGGAATTGGAATTCGTATTCTAAGTTGTAAAGGCTCCTTTGGAGGAATGTTTGTGGGTTCCATCTCTTTTGCAATTTCAATAACGACAGACTCTACTTCTTCTGAGGTTGTTGAATCGTCCTTACTATGATTGGATTGTCGGTGAGGTGTTTGTGGATGGAATGGACTTTCAACAGCATTGGTAGTTGTCGATTCCTTGTCTTTGTCCTCCACATTCACAGTTGAAATGCATGTGGATGATTCGTTAGAAGTTTCTTTTAGCTGCACTTAAGGGTGTTCTTATTATTTCTACAAGCTCTACTCCTTCCAAACCAAGAACTTTCATGACTTGAGCTTCATTCTTTCCCAACAAGTTAACATACAATTTGAAAGGTTTGGTGTGTTTTTCTTGATTTGCAAGATTTGACATTCTTACAACAGCCACAAACAACTCATGTCTATCCTTCATTGGAGGCCTTATCGAAGAGAATCGATTAGCAAATCGTATGGAAGCTCTTTGGGCATTATTGACGCCTCTTACTTCATCAGGTACAATCCATAAACCATAGGTTATTAAATAAATAATCGTTATTAAGCAAAGCACACTTCCAAGATAGAAAAATTCATAAAATGTCAATGGAGAATAACCATAGGTAGTGTAGATTCCATTCGCAACAATATTAGATGAATTTCCAATCAATGTCAAAAATCCACTTCCAGAGGTAATGTATGTGAGTGTGATGAGAAACTTTGACGCAGATACCTTATTGTGTTTAGTCCATTCTAACACAATTGGTAATCCTAACACAACTACTGGAGTATTATTCACAAATGCTCCAATCGTGGCAAAGACGAGACACATTCTCAGTGTGGGTATCATGTATGAAACAAGTTGAAGAAATCTATTGCTGTTCTTGAAAGGAATTGGTGATCCAAAGAGCAATTTGGCAAACTTTTTCACCAAAGTATTTTGGGTCAATGGTTTCACGATTGGAAATAAGAGAGCTATGGCCAATGTTCCACCGTTGGCAAATCCGTTCACTGTTTGATCCAATGTAAGAATTCCAGCGATATTGAAAATAACCACAGTACAAATGATCACCACATATGGCCTCCACACAGACAGTATCAATAGAACGAGCATGATGATCAGGCATATCAGCACAAACCACAACTTCCAAGAACTCCAAGCAAATGCAATCACTGGTGAGACAGAGGAACAAATGTTTGTCACTGGATCTGAACTCGTCGTCATGTTCTCAATCAGTAGAGCGTTTCTGATTACTTTCAGTGTTGAGAATGTGTATGAGGGGTTGGGTTGACCTTGAAAGAGAGTATAAATTGATGATGTAATGTTCTCAATGCTGCTTTCGTTGAATTGTATTCTGTAGGTATCGTTAGACATCAACATTTGCTCAAATAGCGATGTGTTAAATCGTATTGAGAACCACTGCAGGTAATAATTGTTCTTATACAACTCTGGTATCTCGAGAAGGTCAGAAGCACTTTTCAAGTGACCTCGTGTCCAACCATTCAAATCCAATTTCATTTTCGCAGAGTCAATGGGTATTCCATCCGAGTTGGTTGTACTCGATTGAAAAATCTCTTCAGGCAAAAACAATGAGTTGCCGTACTCTGTGTTCTTGATTACATGTGAATGGATGAGTCTAAAGTATTGAAAGATATACGACGTGTTGTTTGTGTTGGTCTTGGTCAGTGATGCGCCAATCTTGTCAAAAATAAAGTCCCAATTAAGGATGTTTGAAGCTGATGAATAAGAGAAGGTCATCAATGCTAATCGTTCAGTTGTATTGTCCGCATTCACTCTTGTGAATTGTGTGGAAAATTGAAACCCATGTACAAAGAGTCCACTTGGCTGTTCATTCCATTGAGAAAACATGCCAACGATGCATGAACCAACGAACAGCAACACGATGAGCAATCGAGTTAAACTGTTTATGTGATGGTGGTGACAATGTGAAAACATGGTTTCTTCTTTTTAGTGTATGTTATTTTCTGAACAATCACAAAATGTCTGCGTCAAGAACGATGATATCACGGCACTTAATAAATGTAAACAATGAGAATGAAAATTGCGGTATTTCAAAACTAACATGGTCAGTCGTGCTCAATCTCTGTAACACTACATTGTTCTTCTTGAGTCAAAATTAGCCGCCAACGGAAATTAAACATTCTCCAGTAAGTGGGATAGAGAACTTTTGTGAGAATCGAAGTGTCATAAAATAAAAGTGTAGAATTCTACATTTTAGTGTCGAAACTCCACTCTAGAGTTGCCTTGTATATCACTGGAATAATCACGCCTGTTTTGATTTCAACGTCACTACCTGAAGAAATTCATCCTTTTCACAAGTGGCCACCAACAGGTCGCCACATTGCAGTACAAATCTCTCGCAACAACAGCAACAATAGCAGTATGCGGTTGAGTTCGTCAACTTCAACTAGAAGGGTACAAAGATGCAGGACCAGTGATATCACAGTGTTCAAAAATTTTTGCAAACATGAGGATTCCAGAATCAATACATCTCTCGAGGACAATCGTGAAAACTACGAGAGCAATCGTTTCAAAGCTTTTCAGAAAAAGCTCAGATTTGTCCCTTATTCTTAATGACACTCAGGGAATCAAGCAATGATTAACTCAAAACAACAATGAATTTTTCGGATAATGTACTTCCAATTTTGGATCGTAAAATCAATACTATGACATCATTGTGCAAAATTTTAGCATTTGGAAAGCACAAAGACTATGTTGTTATTCAAGATGCTGGATTTACTTGGAACAGACTATGTACAACTCCTTGATGACCACTCCAGTCGAGAGCAGCAGTGATGACGATCAAACTGTTTATTTGAAAACTTGAATTCTTTTACCCTCAGCCACAAACAGTTCACCACCAAATGGATCGCAAGACTTTCAATGACTGAAAAGTCACCCTTCTTTGTTTCATTTTCCTTTCCCTTTCCAAACACTCGAATGGCTCCATTGGGTTTGATCACTTGAATTCGGTAGTTGTACCGATCTCCAACGTAGATATTTCCAGTACTTTGTTCGGTAATGGCCACACGTGGGTAATTGAATTGACCTGGTTGTGAGCCTTTTCCTGAATATTTTTAATCTCTACCCCTTTCTTGGAGATAATTTTGACAGCTTGTCCGAAATATTCAGACGTGACAAGATTTCCATCCTAATCACACAAACAGACATGAAAAGATTGAACCATATTACGTAATTCCACATCCAATGACTTACCTTATCAATATCGACAGAGGTTGGATTTTCAAAGGCTAAATCCCTGCCTGCTGGATATTACCAATTTCTCCCAATAATGATCCATCCTTGTTTGACAACTTGACAATTCGATGTTGTGCACTACTTGCCACATAAACAATTCCACTCTGTGGATCCATCACAACACTAGAGGGTTCTGCGACATCTTCCTCATCAAATCTTCCCATGCGTTGACGTTCCTTTCCAAATTTCCAAATTCGTTCTTGACCGTCCATGCTCATTTTGGTGACCATTCCTAATTCCTCACTCGTAATGATGAGGGTATCATCACTATCATCGACACAGACGGCACATGGTGAGAAATTAAGTTGAATACAATTTTTGAGTTTGAAGGAATTTGACAAGTCGGCACCAGTCTTGCTCAATTCAAAGGAGTAGATTTTATCAGCTTTGGAATCCACCACAAAAAGGAGTTTGTGTTTTCTGGAGATGTGGAGACCACTGACATGAACAAATGACAAGGGTTTTTCAATGTCCGAATCTAAACCCAACAAACCACAAAATTCAAATTTACCACTAAAGGGAACTTCAGAAAAGCCCAATAACTTGACTTGATGTGATTTGAACTTTTGATACTTTTGATGAAGAGAGGCGTGATCATGACAGAGTTTACATGAACATTCCACGCATTGATGACTGGCTTGCAATGTTTCATTTTCTTCGGATTGACATTTGGCACAATTTGTCTTCACCGAGTGGTGTAACTTGTGAGGCATGGTCTTTGGTCTTGTTGCTCGTGTTGTGGAGAGACAAGTGTGATTCACAAATGTGAATATTACAGACAGGACAATGATGAGTAGCAGGAGTGTTCTCATCGTCTTGTTTGCATTTGACGCATTCCTGAGGAGACATGATTGGTATGTATAGTGTTTAGTGGTGTGTTTGGAGTGTTTTTTTTATATGTGTGTGAGTGTATGGAAATGACGGAATTTATGCCTCATTTCATGCAAACAGCGAGGGTCACAGTTTCCGTTTTTAGAGAATATAATCAACTCGTCCAATCAATTCATGTTCAAACAGATTTCGCTTGGGCGGCGTAGTAGTATTAACATGTACACAATCATTTCGCGCTACAGCTACTTTCGGCGTTCGACAGGCTTGGCCACATTTACAGGAAACATACGAATGTTAACCCTTAATGAAGGTCCAAATGAATCTTCAAAATGGTTTTCTTGAAACCTTAATTCGAAATTGAACGATAAAAATGCTTCCTCAACGTCAACAACACGAGCTTTTTCTGCCAATGATTCTTGTTGATTGTTCAAAGTCTTCTTCTTTGCATCATCGTTATGGTGATTCTCTTAAATTTGCTTCTCATGATTTGAAAAATGATATTGAGATTGTATTTCAAGCGATCCCTTTGCATTTGAATATATCTCAAATGAACTGAAGGAACTAAAGATGTTGTTTTGGCTGCTGTAAATCTTGAAGGTTATGCACTTGAACATGCATCAAAAGAGTTGAGAAATGACCAATAAGTTGTATTGACAGCGGTAAGACAGAATGATTATGCTCTCGGATTCGCATGTGACAAAGAATTCTTGATTGAAGTGAGCAAGCATGGATAATTCACTCGTGTACCAGAAGATATTGATGGCAGAGAATTTGTGTTAAGAGCCGCCAAACTCAATGGAGTTGGAATTATTGGGTCATGTTTTACTTCAGACAAAGAAATCTTGATGGTTGGAAGCGGTGAAGAACAATGGATATGCATTGAGATTT